GACGTACGCCTGAATCTATCCATACAGAGAGTGAACTATTGTGGAATTCCAAAGGCTTTACACAAGGACATTTCGCTTCAGTCTACCATACTGACGTGTTCTGGTGCATGACCTCAAGCACAATTAGGCAGTCTGGGTATGAACATGTGAAATCTGCTGTTACAGGACCACTTGATGAAAAAGAAAATGTCTACTTAGAGCCACCGTTCATGTCTGTTTGTTGTGTGGGAGAAACCGAGAGAAAAGTCTCATCATTATCCATAGCCCTAGCAACCCCAGTTTCCTCTTCGGTCGTACATATTGCTATCCTGTGGGTGGGTTACCATAGAAACTGTCCAAGCCAGACATGGCAGTAGCAACTGCAGCAGTCTCCGTCTGTTGTTAGGAGGCAACTGGCTGTGAAACTTCTCCACACGCCCTCCCAGCAACTAAAATCACAAAGACAGCGCAGGGTCCAGTCGTTTAGGTAGCCTTCAGTGCGAGCTTTAGCAGAGCGACTTCAGAGAGACAACACATGACTGGCACTTTCACATTCCACCGAGCAGCATGTGAGAAGTGACTTGCCACGGCTTACAACAGTCTTTAGCAATGAACAGAATCTGAATTGAGGGAAAATCCCCAACCTCTAAGTGGTATTACCCCCGTTTCCCCTCACCTTCAACTGAAGGGTTGGCTGGGGCTGATCAACATAAAGCCTTGGCACAAGGTGGTAGGAATTTAGCTCAAAACAATAATATTTGTTGTAGAAGTTTAAGTAGAATTATTACACGTGGTCTTTTGGGGAATCTGTGTAACCAGACAATCCAGAACAGGCAAGGAAGGAAAAGCTTCTTTGGTCTTAATCACTATTTATGGTAAATATGGCCATAAAATGTGATTGTAGCAAGGATATAGAAAAGTGGCCAAAATGTGAGCAGTACGTCAAATTGCACACAATTAATACTACTGCCACTGACAACCATGCACAAAAGACACAAAGATTATAACAGATACTGACAAATGACTGGGTTATTTCAAACCAGATATTGAGGCTGTTCTTTTAACCCAGAAGTTGGGTCAAAAAGAATAACCCAATTTTCTGGGTTGAAATAACCCAGAAATTAGTTGGTCCCTTTTTAACCCAGGAGTTTTTAGTGTGCATGTAGGGCGCTAAATGGATTCATGAGTATGAAAATTATGTATATGCTATAGCCTGTGCAATCATCTGATCTCAACCCAGTTAAACACCTATGGGAGGTGTCAGACACTACCATCATCTGTCGCCCATCTGTACATTGTGTTTTCTGCTCATTGGTGTTAACTGAGAGCTCTGTCAATCTTTGCTCCTCCAGTGGAGGTGCCGTTTGCTCGTCACTCTGTATACTTGAAAAGGTCTCGGCTCCACCTTTAGTATGCACAGTTCTAATTGCCAAATAGAGCTACATTGCTTGACAGTGATTAGGTTTTGCTAATCACTGCTTCCCAACTAGAGCTGAAACAATTAATTGATTCATTTATTAGACGATCGACAGGAAATGAATCAGCAACTACTTTGATAATCAATTAATGTATTAATGGTTTGCCAAACATCTTTGTCTTAAATGACAGTAAACTGAATATCATATTCATAGTTTTGGAGTGCCAGTCAGACTCAGGCTGCAACTAACGATTGTTTACATTATCGATTGATTTGCATTATTATTTGATTATTTTCAGGATCAATCGATTAGTCTATAAAATTTCAAAAAATGCTCATCACAATTTCCCAGAGCCCAAAGTGTTGACATCTTGCTTCTTCTGTCCAACAAACAGACCAAAACCTCAAGACTCTTCATTCATTATAATAAATGACAAAGACATTTTTGCTTGAAAAATGACTGAAACAATTAAATGATCAAAATAAACATTCTAGCACTTTACAGATGTCACCTTGAGCCCTGGAGAAGGTGTGAATGGAATTTTTCACTTTTTTTCTCACTATCATTTGGTCTGTAAGGTTTGTGACCCCTTAAAACAAATCATGTCTACTTGCAACCCCATGTCTCCGGTTATTGCCATAGTGTGGATGTGGAGGTGAGAACAGTAAATATTTCCAGTATTTTACACAAGAGCCAATGTTACAAACAAAAGTCAGAAAAATGTATAAATGTAATTTTGTGAGACAATTTTATTATCCTTTATTACACCTCAGATTAGTATTTGGGACTCTTGCCTCACGACTACCAGGTTGGAAGCCATGGTGGTGCTGACCACGGAGAGTTTTGAATCCTGCTGGAAAATGGCGGCGTTTGAGTGGCAAGGCAAGTTTTCTGACAAGACTGCTGGTTAGCACTGTGATAGAAACAACTCCATACATCCTGCTGCTACGGGAATGTTTGGTCCCTACAAGGTGCAGGCTTTTTTACACTATGTGCCATAGTGGTAATCACCCTGTCCACTGGCTTAGACAAATCCAGGAGAGAGTAGCAATTCCGGGTGAAAAGGGGTGGGAAAGCTGCAAGCTTTACATGGTCTTCCATGGTGCCCTCATCCTGCACAAGCCTCTGATTACTATCATTCCTCCACAACCGTAATTATTATTCAGGTTGGGAAGACAACGCAACTCTGAAGTTGCTCTCAGTGTTGCCGAGAAGATAATTCCTCCTTTTCTGCACGATTAAATGGCTTAATGGCTGGTCTTAATGACATGGCAAATATACCTCCAGCTTTCACTCTTTCGCGCCCACACTTTGTTACTTATTTTATCCTTGGAGCATCCTCAGGCCAGGCCTATTGTGTAGGTGTGACTAATGAGGTTTAGCATCTGTATCATCTAACGTCAAACTTTCTTTCTGGTCAGAGTGTGTGTGCATGTATATAGTTCTGTTCCCTTGTCTAAATGATAACAGTGCATGTAAATGAGCGTGTGCGTGTGTGTGTGTCAGTGTTTTATTTACCCTCCCGGATCCTCTGATCAAGTGCTGTCTGGCTGTGACAGGCAGACGGCCTTCTCTGGCAGTCAGTCACAGATGCCCCTGCACACTGAGCTTGTGCTGCCAGGGCCCAGGCGACAGCGGGGAGTGTAACCCACGATGCCAATCAGTCTGTGACAGACTTGCAAGTTGTTGTGACGCCCCCCCACATACACACACACACACGCACAAACAAACACACACACACACAACTGTCCGCCTCTTTCCTATCACTGCTGTAAGCGATGAAATAAATATAAATACAGCAGTCTTCTAACCATCTGTCCTGATCTGTCTCAGCATATGAGGTTGGTTTGATTGAGGGAGAGGATGGACCTGCACAACCATGGCGGCTTTCAAACATATGAATAGAACATGTCTAGAGGCAGGCTAAGTTACGATCTTGTTAGTACAAAATTTCTTCTTTTGTTGTTGTTACTGTCCCTCCACTGCAGCTCAGGAAGAAGACACAGTCTGTGACACAACAGCCAGTATGGGCATGAGAAACAATTACAGCAACTTACAACTCTTTTAGTGTGTCTTTAAACCAGAGTTTACATACTGTAAACACAATGGATTTGACCTATCTCAGGTGACAGTGTAGAATCAAAGCAGGTAGGTAATCATCACAAAACCAGATAATGAGAAGCTACAACTACCACTTTTGGCTGAGATAATCTGAACAGCATGTACCAGAAACAATCCCTATTCTCTGTGGTGCATGCCAAATCACTTGCACATGGTGAATTTCAACCATTATGGAAATTTCCTACATCGGTTCTCCGGCTCCATGATCATCAAGCTGCAGCCCTATTAAACTTTTTTTTTTTTTTTTTTTTTAAAAACACACAAACAATCCTTTAGCCACACTCCTTACTTTAAATGCCACCTTCTCAGGGAATGATGAATAACACGTGCGATCACGATTGTTGTCTACATAACAACACAGTTTGCTTGTATAAGCTGTTGCAATTTAAACCATGTTGTTGCCATTTTTAACTACAGGAACATACCGAAATAAATGTCCAAAACTAAGGCCACTGAGAGAGTAAGCAAACAAATATAATGGTTGCCATTTTTATGACAGCTTGCTCACACACACAGGCCCTGAAGCCGTGTGATCTCATTACACCTAACATAAAAACTTCCCCAGTAAATTGGTCTTATGAGTTACAGTATATGTGGCCAACCAATTTCACGAGGCCTGATGTCATTACACCCTCATTCCTGCTGATTCAACGGTAGCGAGCCCGCATCTGTCAGCTCAGCTCGTTCAACACTTTATTTTGTCATGCTGATCCTAATCCTTTATCACTGACCCTCTCTCACCTGTCCTTTCAAGCTGTGTCCTTCTCAGACTTCCTTTGTTTTACAGTGTGATATTTTTGTGCCTGGCGATGACAAACAATGGGAGTTGTTGGGAGCCCCTGAGCAGGGCTGTCTGCATGTTGGGGAACATTTTTGTTTACACTCTGCTCTGATTTCTCTTGGCTTGCTTACCCAAGGTGCTGGAATGCGCAGGCCGGTGTGTGTGTGCCAAGTTTACTGAAATCCTTTTCAGAAATACCAAGGATCACATGGGATGGAGGGGGGTGCATTTGAAGAATATTAGGGTGACACTGTGATAAGTACAACTGCATGTAATAAAGATGAGGGCCAGTAAAGTCACTCAGTTAATCTATAAACACAGTTTTACTCCCTGTAGAATATATTACAAGACTATTGTTGTGAGTTTGTTTGAGGGGGGCGGGCACTCAGTTGGTAATAACAGAGTGACCTAAATTCCTCTGATTTTGCTGCCTGCATCATAAAGTGGGAAAGACAACCAGCAGACACGATCAACCGGTCTGTTAGCTGGAAATTCCCCTCTTGCTTCTTTGAGTTCATTGAGGCCCCCTGGGAATATTGCTACACACGTTTTTGTTTTCTTTTCTGGTTGAATGTTAAAACCGCGGAAAGTGGAACTACTCTTTTAACTCGCACACAAAAGTTGAGCTCGCCACCCACTTCTTCTTCAGCTCCATCTGATTCACACTAAAATGGGTTGAAAGTGACCGGGCGTTTCCTTACCTGCGATGTCCCACAGCTGTAATCTGACCAGCGTGTTGCTGTCCCAGTTGATCACTTTAAGCGCAAAGTCGACCCCGATCGTCGCCCTGTAGTGCTGCGAGAAAAGCTGGTGCACGTAGCGTTTGATGATGCTGGTTTTCCCGACGCCTAGTTCCCCGATCACCAGCACTTTGAACAAGTACTCCTTGCACTCAGACACCGAGCCCCCGGCCATGCTGAGACGGACACTGACAACTTTTTCTCTAAACTCAGACAGCTTCTGCTTTCTCGCTCATGTATAAGCTTCCTGCGAGGCGCTGGAGTGGACTGGGCTGGTTAGAGGGCAGGGGGGCCAGATGCAACAGAATTTCTTTCCCCTTTACTAATTCTCCTCCTCCTCCTGATGCCGCCCAGCAACCACCTGATAAGTCATAGGACCCGGAAATGAAAGACACACTTGATATTAGTGACGGGAATTAAAAGCCTACAGCTTTCTGAAGGGAGCCCAAGGGGGTAAGCCAGAGATCGGACAGCGAAGCCGACCAAAGCCTTCACGGAGGGATCCATGTAGGCCCAAAAATGACGTCAAAACCCTGTGACACCCCATCGCACATGAGAGATGTAACCGTATTGCTTAGATTATAAACTCTCGGCTATCAAAAAAAACTGTCAGAGCAATCAGTGACGCTGCTTTGGTGTTTGACTGGTGAACCTTTTAGGTGGGCTGATTAAACAGTGACAATCCGAGTCAGACTAACACACTGAGCCATGAAACTTTTTGTTGGCGCATTTATACAGCTACCAGAATTACGGTGTTTCTGCAGTTGTTCTACGTCATTAAACCACGGTTATGCTGCACGATCGTGCGCAGTAGACGCTGGTGCCAACAGGAAGTGGCCCTGTAGTAGTATTTTATTGGTCCAAAACTGGCTTCACTGCTCTCCTTTCAAATCAGTGGGGCGGCTTCGTCCGTGCCTTTCAGAGAGTCTGCTCTTTCGGCTCCCAAACTTCATTTAGTAGGCTACCACTTCTGCTGGTCACTGGACAAGTTACATTCTTATTTGTTGCAAGATAAAAAAATATGCAAGATGTTCGTCTGCAATACATTGAAATATTAATATGTTAAATAGTGATGATGATGGTGGAAAATGTCTAGAATAAATATCCTAGTTTTAAAACGAAAATAACACTCTACTACTGAAATAAAATAAATATATTACAGCTCTATGCAGACACATAGTTACTGTAGTCCTATATTTAAACTTAATTTGTATGATATATTATACAAAAATATTTCTGCTCTGTTCAAAAGTGTAATTTGTTCAGTGTCATGCATTTCTTTTTCTGCAATTCCGCATTCAAACCCAAGCTCCCAATCCTTTTTATGTTATAGTGTCATCATAACCATCAAGTAAGCATCAACCAATGGGATTTTTATGTTGAATATTGGGCCGGGATTGGCTCCAAAGCTGAGATGTCACAAAATCATAGTGGTAGTACCAAAAAACAGAGTTTTAAGACAAGCTCAGAAAAACATTCCCCTTTCAGCTAAAGAACCCACAAAAAGGGCCTTTTAGTGTCAAACTCAGCACGTGCATCATTCTGCACAGAGAAGCTCAAACATCTAAGTACCAATACATTTTCAAGAAGAGGGGAACTTGGCTTGAAAACCTCTTAAGGATCACTGATTGCCCCCAAACTCTATTTTGGAAACACTGGCCTACAATAATATTGATTGGCAGGTTAGGATTTTTGCAGCCAAACATAATGACAACCCTGTTTTTCAAGCTGTTGTAGGAAGTAAGCAGTCTTCTTAATATAAATAGTTTTTATTTTACAGCATTGTTCCGCTTGCCCAAAACATAAAGGCCTATTTCATTCTAGATTTGACAGTGTTAAACAGGTGGCACCCTTTTATATTTTACATTAGTTAAAATCATTTAACAACTTACACTATAATAGACTAAAACATTTGGAAATACAATACAATTGCACTATGTACTGTATAGGCTTGAAATAATTTGCATTGTTATAGATAAAGAACTAAGAAAATTAATCTAAAGTAAACTACTTAAGTTTATAATGCAAGATTTAAGCAAAATTGAAACATGTATAATCTCATTACAAGAAGCAACTAATCATTAGTTACTTTTACAACTGAATATTTTCAAGAGGATACAGTCGACTCAAGTTAGCTTAAAAGTTACCCAAAAACCAAACACACTGCTCAGTGACAAGTATGTGAGGACAGCTTCAAAATGTATAAACTCTTCTTTTTTTCTGTAGACATTCTAAATATAGAAACATTTATCAGTATTACAAACATACCACCTGTGTGAAATAACAAGAGATGGCTTAACAGTATTACAAACTTTGAGAAGTTGTACAAGTACTGTGCTTTTCCATTACAATGACACAGCAAACTCAGAACATGAGAAATATCAACACGGCATGGAACGCAAAAGTAGTTCTTTTATGGCACCCCATGCTTGTTAAACTTGTTCTCAGGGTTATGTTTGAGTGCAAACGGAATAAACAACATTGCCATCTTCTACAATCAAGCAAACCTGTATCAGCTACATCGTAAAAATCAAAAGCAGGGATGTAGATTGATAACAACTTGGATTGGCACATTATATCCATATCATATATCATACAGCTGGTAAGTCTTCAGATTCTCAGTTTTTTTATAATAATTTTGTGATGTTGAGCACACTTCGCAACACATAAAAGTAATATTCAACCAACATACTGCACTTTTCTTGTTAAGTTATGATGATTGGATGAGAGGAAGCTGAGTTTAAATTCATTCATGAAAAAAAGGCGATAAAGCAGATTGTTTTTTCGATGCAGCTGCGACTGCTGCACACATGTGCAGGTCTGTTCATGTGCAGCAGAGAGGAGCTGAGCTAATCAAATCTGGCATGAAATGCACTTGAGCTATTGAAGTCCCTAAAGCCAGTTTGGTCTCTGGTTGAGTCTTACAGTCTGCACATAGAATTGTGTTTTTCTTGTAATCCACTTAATTGCACTGCCACTATAAGAAACCACAGCTACATCCTTTTTTTTACTCTCAGTGTTGCCTTAATTCATCAAAATTTGGCATGAGAGCTGACTAGTTTTGGCACTGTTCCCGGTTTTACATTATACAGATAGGCTTTGTGCGCTGACAGCCCTTCAGAAATGTAAGCACTCATGGATGATTCCTGCTTTTTTTCTACTTATAGCTTTGATTAACCCCTTATTGATAAAAGCAGAGTAATAAATACAAGCAAGCGAATGACAATGAAAAAGACATGTTATAACCTTGAAATGATAATCAAATAATGGTGTTATACAGTATGTTTCTGTACATGTTTGTGTGTGTGTGTGTGTGTGTGTGTGTTTGCATGTGCATGAACCTGTATGTGGAAGTGCATGTCTGTGTGATGCACAAGTGTGTTGACAGCAACTGCGTTAGCGCCTGTTTTGCTCTCACAGTGTTGAGGAGCTGTGTGCGAAGTCTTGGAAATTATTTGAGGTGTAGACTGAGCTCAGATGGCTACCGAGCATCAGCTCCATGACAGGGGAGCTGCTGACAGACTCCCCCGAACACACAGAGTCTCTGAAGGGGGAGGGCGGCGACAGAGCTAGGGATTCCTCCAGAATTGGCTTGTTCTGAGTTACATCCTCGCTGTCCCCGTCCTCCTCTTCCCCGTCCTCCCCCTCCCCATCCTCCTTGGCATCATAAATGTAGCTGTGCAAGAGGTCCAGTTCCTCGTCCTCCGGCCCCTCCTCTTCAAACGACCCAAGTTGTGGGGCTGAAGGAAGCTGAGAGGGGGTCAAGCTCAAAGGCTCGTTGGTAGGGATTGCCTCTCTGGCAGTATAGTCACTCAGTGCAGGGACATGGGAGCTGTGTGTGTCCACCACAGCTCCCTGCAAGCGCTCCGCAGTGCAGCCCTTCAAGTGAGAGGGCAAATAAGAAGCCGGCTTATCTAAATCAGACTCCAGCCCTTGCATCTGTCCAGAGCAAGTTGGAGTCCAGAGGGGGCGCTGCGCATCGCCCTCATCGTCCTCCTCCACCAGGTTGTAAAGAGGCTTAGTGCTGCGTGGATCTTGGGGGAGATGGGGGTCTGTGCCAAGGTCGCAGGTAGACGGCTCACAACTGTGGGGGTCGGGGGTGTTAGTTAGGGGCCTGATGACCGCCGTCTGATTCAAGCCGGCTTCCTGTTTCCTCACATGCACAGACAGTCTGTGCCACACATTCCCCCCCCTCGGAGGGTGTCTTGCACCTGATTCAGACCATGACACAGACTTGCCATTAGAACTATGAACGAGATAAAGACCCAAGTTACTATCACAGGAAACCGGGAGGTGGTTGCAGAAAAAACAACATAGCAGCAACATAACACAACAGAGCAGCAGCATTTCAACATTTCTGATGCATGTTAAAATACTTCTTAACCACATGACATGACAGCTTTACTAAGGGGTTCACTCATGAGCTCTAAAGAGAATTACATTTTTCAACTGTGGCACTTCACAAACATAGTGATTCATAATGTGCTGCAGACAGCATTATGATCTTCAAGTTGCTCCAAACATTGAGCCAACCAGCTCATTTCCTCCTGTCTTGACTACTTGCTTATATATTTGAAATGGGACGCATGCATTTGGAATAAGTGTGTCAGTTGGTGCCTGAACTGGCTTGAAGATGACAGAGTTTAGTGCAGAATGAGCTAGGACTGGCTCTAATGTGATTAGTTAGAGAGGTGGGGAGGGGAGGGCGTTCATGCTGAGGAAAGTTAAATATGAGGTTAATTCAGGATAAACCAAAAGCAGCAGGGCGGCAGATCTCCTTCTTGGAGGGCTGCAGTGTCAAATACATGTTTTGCCATTGCCAGCTCAGGAGTGACAGGATCACACATTTTTAATTCATCAGCTACTTTAACCTGCTAGATAGGCTTTGTTGTTGAACACAAAAGCAACTCAACAAACATAAACTAAGAGTTGACAGTGCAGCTCTCCAGGAAAAGGAGTTGAACGACGCCCATGCTAAAACATTTGCCAGCCTCGACACGTTGCAGACAGTACGCTGCTCAGTTTAGAAGGTTAAAGGGTTAGAAGATTAGAAAGGCTGCATGACAAGGGTAAGAGACAACACGTAAACATTTTGGGATCACTCGCATACTTTGCCCCACTCCTTACTTTAGACACCTGTCCATGTGTCACTGCTGTGGATCTCAAAAAAGTTATATGCATGTCTTGTATCTAGTGAGAAATCTATACTTTAATAACCACTGACATATTAGCATGGCCTGTTAGATTTAAATCAATGGCAGCAAAATGTGCCGTCTTGAGTTTTCTATTAAATTTTGCTTAATTTAGCTAATTTTTCATTCTCAGGGGGAGGGGGATGTGCCATACAGTATAAATTGGTGTACACTGCTTACTGTTTCTAAATCAGTTAATCAGTTTTTTTAGATTGGGGTACTGGAATGTTAACCATTAACATCATGTCTAAACACTCAAATATTCTTGTGGTATTACAAAAATAAGCACCCGCATGGTACTTGCAAATAGGT